GATTATGAAGGTATAGTAATAAAGACCTTCTGAAGAAAGGTTACTACAGTCTGATGAAACTCATTACAGCTGGATTTTTTGACCATACATCAAAGCTTGTATTAATGGGCAGTTATAAAAACCCAGCACTAAAGTCTTAAATAACAGATTTGCTGGCGTTGTTGGCTAAGCTGAACTAGATCAGTGTATTGGCTTTGAAGGTGCCTTAAAATGGATGGAGGAGGGTGGGGTCAACATTTGACTTGGCTTCTAGACCCTTGATGTGTTCCAGCTGGACAGCAGCAGAAGGGTGTGGGGTGTGGAGAGGGAGAACTGAAATATGCATGGAAGGGTTTTTTTTTTTGAAAGTAAGCAGCACATAAAAAGACAGTTTTGCTGATCTTGATCTGATAAACTAATAATCAAGCAGTTCCCAGGGTTAGTATTTTTTAATGACATTTTACTAAGCTTAAGAATGGATATGACACATCTGACACTTTGGAATATGGTGCAGAGAGAGTCTGTCATACCACGGAAAGAAGTTATACAGCATTTGTGTTTTGGGATATTTTTTTTTTCCTCCTCTCTGTTTTGGTATATTAACCCTTGGGAAGATGTATCTGGAGCATCAAAAGATGCTTCACAGCAAATATTGAAACTAGCCTCTGACATATTGCCTGTAGCATCTCACAGTGAGCTTGAAGTATTTCTGAGGTATTTGGGAAAGACCCAGGTGGATTTTAAATATTCTGAAGGTTGGGGAAATTTATCTGCTTTTAAATTTTTTATTTTTAAGCAGTTTTTGACCACTTCTGCCTTCACAGTAACTGGACTTAGAAGCACCAAAAATCTTCTGTTTTGTTGGCCTGCCTGAGAAAACGGGCTCTTAGTGTTGAGTGTGGAAGGGTTAAGAAAAGTCATTTATTGATGGCACGGAGAGAGGGACTTTATAAAAGAGGTCGTGTGAAATGTAAATGTTAACTGTGTACACTAAAATGTCAAGGTAATGTTTATAATGTTTCTTTACAATATGTTGTCTTAAGGCTTTGCTGCTGCAGTGAATGCTGATCTGATCTCTAGAGGACAGAGGTTAGACTGTACATGCTCTGTCAAGGGAAATGTAGATATAGATGAGGCACCAAAGAGCTCTTAGGTGTGGGGAGAAATAGAGTCTGGAGATCAGGAGTTGCATGGACCAGCTCTGTTCTCCAGACACCCCAGGGAAGTCAGGACCAGTAGCATCTGATATAGTTGCTAGCATAAGGCAGGATACCCATAAACAAGTATAGGATAAACCTGAAACCTATGAGATGTGAGGGCTAGTGGAGCTGTTTGCTCTCCTTTCACTCTGAGCAAAGAGCAATTCTTGCTGAGGTTGAGAAATGTTCTTCCTCTGGCCTGTACTGTCAGCCAGAAGGTAACTTATCTCCAGAAAACCACTGTAATCTTTCTCTTGGACCCAGTCCCTTGTAAGGATCATTGCATCCTCATCTGTGTCCCCAACCCCTTCTCTTTAAAACAGGTAATTCATGGTGAATTCTGGAGGTTACATTATCCCAATTAGATAGAAGTAACCTGCAGCTGCCTGCAGAGGCTCAAAGCCCCAAAATATCTTGAGATTTCTGTGCCTAGCAGCATGGAAAATGAAGTTGGTAAACCTGAGAGGTGTCAAGAGAATTTTTTAGAAGGGGTGGGGAGAAGAGAGGAACAGCAGGTTAAGGAGTACGATGGTTTCTCAAACCTTCATATGCAGCTGCAAAGCTGTATGATCCTCCCTTACAGTTCTGGTACAGACTTACTGGGCAGCTGGCACAGCTGCAGCCCTCCTTCTGCTGCTGCCCTGCCTGGCATTTGGACTGTGGATCATGCCATTTGTACATCCATCCATTCAGATTGTGGCTGCTTTTATACCTCTGCCTTTAGCTATGCACTCTAAGATATACAAAAGTAAAAATAAACATGGGATTAATGAGTTCCTAGGAAAAAGGGGGGAAAGGGAAGTGAAGAGGGTTTATAATCGTCAGCTGACTACTAATTTTTATTTTTACTTTTTATTGTTGCACAATCATTAACGTGAGATTTCTCACATGGTTAAAGATAAATATATCTTCAAAAGCTTTGCTGGATACAATCTGTAAAAGGGTTGTGTAGAGTGAGGTAATGGAGACCTACCTCATTCACCAAGCACATGTTGGCAAGCCCCATCTTACTAATATTAAAACTGAGCTCCACTCAACTGCCTTGCGCAGAGGCAGAAGGAGCAGAGCATTGCAGAGCAAAACCTATGACGTTCTCATGAAGTCCATTCTGCTTCTTAACATGGTTAGGTTGAAAGATTAGATAGATGCTGGGACCTTAGGAAATTTTGATTCCAAATCCCTGGGCACTTGAGCAGTAAAATAACAACAAAAACCCCTGAAGTAACACTTTTTAATATAAAAAAAACACTTTTCCTTTGTCATCTTTAAGCACTGAGTCAGACAATAACTTCTACTTAATTTGAAGGATCAAACACTTTAATGCTGATCTTAGACTTAAGAAAATTCAACTTGGAAAATAAAAATCCTACTAGATTCCTTTTTGTGGATAGAGTGACTATGAAGTTCTAATCTTCTAATTATTAATTTGCATTTCTGTGCTTGCTGAGTCCCTTTACAAAACATGTAGAACTTAGGTGTATAAATCCTGTATTCTTACCTCAGTGGAGTGAGCACAGTGCAGGTAATAATACTCATGTGAAGTCAGTGTAATTTAGTTTGCATTTTCTCTTCAGAAAAGCAGAATTTCCTTTGAAGTGATAAAGAAAATACTCTCCCTGCCAGGTTAGTTTGTCTGTTATTCCTTAAGATACTGGTTCTACCTACATATATGACAACAGCTCTTTCTGTTCATCTGTTTCATGCTTGGCTATTGACATGTAAATGTAGATACAGTCGCAGAAGCCACATGTATAGTTGCATTGAACAAGGGCTCTGATGCTTTCTTTTTCAAATTCAGCCACGTTTCTGAAGGGTCTTCAATTACCTCCCAGACATAAACTCTGACTCAGCCAGTTACTGACTGTGGTGATGTGCCACGACTGCCCTGGCCAGATTCAAACTGGAAGTAAGTGGTTCTGTGCTGGGATTGCTAAAGTCATGCTCGAGTTAAGTTCCTGACTACAAAAAGTAGGCTCATTTGGGGTTTGTTGCATAGTAGTAAGTAGAAAAGCAAACTGTGCTGGTGTGTTGGAGGGTAAAATGGTGTAGACAGAAGTATAAACTATGCATCTAGTGGTTTTATTACTTTAAAAAAAACCAAAACAACAAAACAAAACAACACTAATATAGTTAAGAAAAGGAAGACGAATTCTAGGAAAAGAAGAATCCACTTCGGTTATGACTGAAATTGACTTTGGGCCAACTAGGTTTAAAAATAACTTTCAAATTAATAAGTGTTAAATATCTGATATTTTTTTTTTGTGGAAAAATGCCATGATTTTATAGACAGTGTTTCAGTCATTGCTTTGAACAGATGAATTGAATTTTACAATGAAGTCACGGCAAAGGAACAGACCAAGCAAGTGAGTGTGCATGCATGCACATGGGTCAAAAGCAGTCCAAAATACAGGGAGGAAATGAAATGGCAGGCTGTTTTTCAGTCCCTTTCTTGCTGCCTCACTGTTTCAAGGCTTTGAAAACATTTCAGATAAAAACTGCCTTCTTGTTCTCCTAAATATTTACTAATTCTAAAAAAAATTAGATAAGAACTTGTTCCCTGAGAAACAGAGTAGCCCTGATTTATGTTCTGGTGAGAGTAAAATAATTGCTGGCACGAGAGAGTTAAAAATGTATAGTGAAAAAGAGATTCATAGTATTGCATCAGTTGCATTGACTGTAACAAGATGCAGGCTAATGGACTGAGTGATTTCAAAACCAGTCCCTGCAAAGCTGGTAACTGCCTATCAGGGGTCGGGGGTTCAATAGCTGTCACAGGGTTTTATGTTTCTGCTATTAAAGGGGACTGCTGACATTAAGCAAACTCCAGGAAATTTAGGAATGAGCAAACATTTTTTATTTCTGTAACGTATTCATGGTGGGCTCTTTACTGGGCTTTTGGCATCTGTATACTGAAAGTATTTTTAAATTCTTCATTCTTTATGGCACAACTAATTTTTGCACCACTTCCACTATGATGAAGTGTTTCATTGATGCTCTACAGAAAGGTGAAACCCCTCAGGTTGTGAAGTTTCAGGTCATGGAGGGTGAGGGTCAGCCCTGTTCTGGATATACAGCAAGACTGGCCCTGGGGACGGCAGTGAAGGTGGCCAACCTCTGAGGATGCTTTCCCAGCCCTGGTCAATGAGTGCTGAGAGTTGGCTGGAGGAGAGGAAGGTACATCTGGACAGTGCTACACCAACCTCTGCCACACAGGTCCTTTGGACTCCAGGCTGATACCTGCAGCTGGAATCCATGTGTGTCCAGGTCACAGAATAGCTGCAGTGAGGAGGGTCTGATTACCCCTTTAGTGCAGCAGTATGTGGTCACTCACGATGGGCTGTACGGAAAGGGAAACAAGTCTAACAAGGCTTTGGGACAATCCTAAAATAACTTCCTTGTCTTCCAAGTCAGTAATTGCAAAAAACCCTACTCCCGAGTAGTAATTGAGAGTAAATAAAAATTTGAAAGATTTTTTCCTGCCAAAAATGTCACCAGGCTCACTCTTCCATAGCATTTACAGTGTAACAGGAAATGTAGTCACTGGACAT